CGTCTCTTCTTCTTTTCAACTGTGTTGTAGCACAGGAAGAGTTTGAGGATTTGTGTTTCCGTTTTGGGATTGAGCTTGATGATGTGGTGAGTGCTTCTTTCTTGTGTTCTGATTTTGTGGGTTTCGTGGTTAGTTTTTTTTATAATCCTGATTAGCTTTGTGCATCATCGTCTTAGACAACTGAGAAAGCAATAATAAGGAAAGAAAAACATATCGAAGAAGAAGCTGATGATGATGAAGAAGTCATCTACAAGATTGAAATTCCTGCCAACAGGTGAAAACATCTATCTGCAATTTGATGATACACTTGTTAAAGACCAGTATAATAGTTAATGGAACTGGTTTTTGTATTTAGATACGATTTGCTCTGCCTCGAAGGGCTTGCGCAAGCCCTTCGCATTTTCAACAAGAAACAGGACATACCGACCTATAGGCTTGCTGACATTGGCAAAGACAAGATGCTTAAAATGAATGTTCAATCAAAGGTGTGTATATCTTGGCCCGACGCAACTACCTTCTTTTGTTTCTCTTTCCCTTCATCATTAAAGTTTTCGCCTTTTGCAGACATCTCAGATTCGCCCATATGTTGTATGTGCTGTTTTAAGAGGTGTAACGTTTGATGAGACTCGTTACAACAGCTTTATTGATCTTCAAGACAAGCTGCATCAGAATATTTGCCGGTAAATGACATTCCCAGTTTTGCATACGATTGATTATTAGCTGCAATTATCATTATGTGGTTTGCATTGACATGAATTTCAATATTTCGCTTCAACTTCTGCAAGCGGTGTGTTATTCATCTTTATTCACTACATATTTCAGGCGAAGATCCCTGGTCGCTATTGGAACTCATGACTTAGATACTTTACAGGGTCCATTCACACATGAGGTGAGTGTTATACTCTTTTCTACTTTGATTCTTATCTTCTACTCTTGGTGTCATTCCTTTAGCTGAGCTGAATTGATAATCAAACTTAGATACACTGTTTCTTCACTACATGAATTGATATTATGATCTTTGCTTTTTATTTTCAGGTTTTTTCGCCGATGGATATAAATTTTGTACCTTTGAAGCAAGTAAGTTGCCTTCCTCGTGGGTTCATCAACTAGTATATCTATGATTCAAAATACTTCCATGTGACTAATTGTTAAGGGTGTGCTCTTTGGGTTAAAGTCTCATGATTGATGATTCTGTTCTTTAAGGTTTCTTGATCAAATGCCTTCTCTGCTGCTGATATAGATCTCTGATTTTATTTCTCGTTGTTTATAGCATTTGCATCTTCTGGCTAATATAGATATAAGAACTCCTCATGCCACATTTTCTGGCGTTGTTGTGATAATATTTTATTAAAGATGGTTTCATGTTTGTTAACCTGCCTAATTACCAATCTCTTGGTGCAGACTAAGAGCTTCAGGGCTGATGAACTAATTGAATTTTACAAGGTAACTCCATAATTTTTTTTGTTTGTTCTTACTCGGAAAGTGATTATTTTCTAGATCATATGACCCTGAATTTATACTTCAAGTTTACTCTCCTGCAACCTTTCTGAAGGAGTTCCTTCTTAAAAATGTACCC